TGTAGAGGGACGAACATTCAATGACCAGGAAGCAGACATTGACCTCCCTGGCCGTTTCATTTTCCCTGAAGGTGACTTTTAACTCCACGTACCCCCATGGTCTCGTCGTCGTCCCGTTGAAGCCTTGGAGGTCAGAGCCCACGTAGGGGGACGGGTTGGACTCGTCGAGTTGGAGGGTCGTGAAAAGGTGGGTGTACATGATGTCCACCGAGCTCCCGCTGTCGACCAGGATACGTCTGACGTCGAAGTTTGTCATCTATGCCCGTATCAGTAAGGGGATGTTTGAGTTGGGGGAGCCCCCGGGAAGCTCCTCGAGGTAGAAGGTGATCGGGTTGGATCGGCCACGAAATTTATCGAGGGTGCTCATTTTTCCAGAGTTGCTGGTGATGAGTTCCTCAAACTTTCTCTTTACTGATCCCACGGATAGGTTCCTCGGGGATCTGCCGGAGATGACCATGGCCTTCGGAAAATAATCCCACTGACTGGTGGGGTGCACTGGCTCGTCGGGGAGATCAGGTTCGTCGGGGAGGCCGAATTCTCTGAACGCGAACCAATCCTCAGGCCGGATGATGCAGAGGGCAACCTGCAGACCGTTGTCACCGTCAGAAGAGGGGAGGTCTTCGACTCTCTTGACCTCGGGGGCATCTTGCCGCGGGGTTTCTCCTCCCCGGGTGTATCTCTTCAGGTGACCATCCTTGATCAAGATTTCGATCACGTCCTTGAGGTGGATGCAGTCTTCTGTAACATACTTGTGGCTTTTATGGAAGCGGCAAAATTTCGATTTGTCCACGTTGGGCTTGGGGGGTGTCGGCCTAGGGAAGCAGACACCTGCCTGGACAAACTCCGTTTTGGCACACTTGGCCAGTATGCGCTCGTGGGAAGCGACTAGAGTCGTATACTCTGTGAAATTGTCGGCTGGACCGCGCTGCTCGCGGGAACGATCCTCCCGTCGGCGATCTCCTCCGCACCGGTGGCTCGAGGCTCCGTCCTCTCAGGGCCCGCGGGGGGTCTCTCGATCTCGAGTGTCCCGGGGGGAGTTGGCCGCTTGAGTCTCCTCGAATCGGATGTAATGTGCGACTCTGTCGAGGAAGTCTTGTAGAGAGGCTGGTCGGTGTATGGCCACACCTTTGTAGAACTTGGAGTCTCGGCGCAGGCCTTGCTCCATCAAGTAACATTTCATCTCATCTGATGTCGTTACCTGTACTGCCTCTCATGTGAACCTTTCGATGTACTTCCGGAGGGGATCGTTGGGAGCCTGGATTATGGCGCCCAGCGCGGCTTTAGTCTTCGGATGGCGCCGGGATGCCGTGAAGTGTCTTGAAAAGAGGTCCTTTAAAACCCTCCATGACGTGACCGATTCGGGCTCCAGGATTTTATACCATGTCATGGCACCTTTCCTCAGTGTTGTCGGGAATAGTCTGCATTTGATAGCTCCTCGGACATTTCGGTAGTCGAGCATGGCCTCGATGTCTTCCAGGTGGTCGTCTGGGTCGGAGGTGTTTTCGTTCGTCGAGAGTGCCAGAGGTTTTTCCATCCCGTGGGGGATGGGAGCAGCCATGATCTCTCGGGACAAGGGGGTCCTGTAGTCTTCCTCGTCACTGAGAGTCGGTGATCGAGGGGGCGATGGTCCTGGTGGTGGAGGTGCTTGATTTCGCGCCCTCGGCCTCCTGGCCGGGGGTTCGACCCTCAGAGGTCTGGTCGGGGGATCCCCTCTGGTTGGTCGTCGCTCCCGGACTTGTCTCGTCGGGGACCTAGTCCGCTCTCGCACTACTTCGGGTTAGGGCCTCTCCAACCGGGGTCGTCGACTCCTGGGACAGGGCGATGGACTCCTCGAATTCCCGTTCTGGTCTTCCCGCGGAGGGTACCTCGACGGGACTTCATGCTCTAGTGCACCAATTCGCGCGTTCTGTTGGAACAACAACTAATTTGTTTGGTTGATAGCCGCGAAGAGGGCGGCCACTGTCGGGTCCGCTCCGACGGGGATATGGATGGGTTGGAATGCTGCTGGGCTCCTTGGTCAGAGAACAGTCTGATGTGCAACTTTCACGGACGAAGGAGAGGCAGTCTGGCCGTCCCTCTCGTCGGTCTCCTGAGGTTGAGACGTCTCCGCTTGCTTGCCGCCGTTCGCAGCAGGAGCGAGGATGAGGTCATGAACAACATCGTCGTGGTGTGGGATAGCCATGATCGCGGAATGTTGGTGAAACTTTGGTTCTCTTCTCGGAGGAACCGGGAAGTTTTATGTTCTTACAGACGACGCCACTGATTTGACCTGATCAGAAGGGGATCGCTGGCTACCACGCGTCTTCGACTTACTGTCTGTTCACCGGTGTTGAGGAGGAGGAGGGGGTGTACCTGCAAGGCACTCCGATGCCAAAGTAAGTGTATGGGCAGAGTGGTCACAAGCACAGAAAGAGGGTAAGAATAGATTACCTGACCCTCTTGTGAAATAGGGTATTTATAGAGAGACCCCAGCGCAGGGCCAACGGTCATTTGAGTTGGGCTAGATGGCCAGACCCAACCCAAGTGATTGCTAGGGCTTACGTGGCGTAGTGAAGACCAGAACGTGGTTTTCGCCCTAGTTCAACTGTCCCATGATCTTCAAAAAGTGGGTTTGACCTGCTCTTTCGGAGGTGGGAAGTTGGTGGATGATGTGTCCCCACGGAGGGGAGCACGTGGAGAACGTGTGAAGGACACGTTGTCCTGCCCGACAAGGGAGCAGGTTCTACCTGCGGAGGGACATTACCTGTCCGTCGGGGACCCTGTGCTCGACGGCTGCGACCTAAGCTGAATTGGGCTTGGCAGAATATTATTGGGTTGGGCCTGCCCGGTCAAGCCGGGGCCCAGGCCAAAATATTTACTTTCTCTGTTAAACAGATTATAAGTACTTAAGAATAACAAATAACCCTCTCACCTTAATTAGGATTTTCCACACCACCACTTAAGATGAGAGACGAGTATGCTATTTATAATAAAACCTAATATACTAAACTAATGAGCTTTTTTAACAATTACCCATTACAAGCTAACTTAGGGCACAAACTAACTTAAACAGTTGGATCCTTAACACAAGGCTCAATTCGACAACTACATACTAAAACACATTTCGACTACAGCATGTAGGACTTTGACGACATGCTAAATTAGAGTTCGATCTAATATCTCACAAATCTCATATCAGTTTGGAGGTCATCCTATTTAAAATCCCGGTTCGGTTATGAGGATATCAAACATAAATCTTCATCTCTATTCAGAGGATAACCAACATAAAACTCTATCACAGTTCAAAGGATAACCAATGTAAATCTCTCTCTCTCTCTCTCTCTCTCTCTCTCTCTCTCTCTCTCTCTCTCTCTCTCTCTCTCTCTCTCTCTCTCTCTCTCTCTCTCTCTCTCTCTCTCTCTCTCTCTCTCTCTCTCTCTCTCTCATTTTCATTAGCTTTCCATCTATCACTTTATTCTGCTGCATATTTATTTGGTTTTACAAAATGTTTCATACTCAGACTTTCTAAATAAATTTGTTTTCGACTGACTTTTTCAAACTTCTACAATCTCAATCCCTCTTGTGTATGGAATCACATGTACAACAAAAAAGTAGTCAGTAGATGAGATTATAAAAAACAAGAATATACTAATGGAAAGGTTTAACATACACCAACTTCTTTATTAGGTTTATGTCAACGTGTTGAGAAAAATGACCATCATAAAATAAAAGAGTAAGAAAAAGAGCCTAAAAGAATTGACATTCATTTTTCTCAAACAGAAACGAGTTTAGTGAAGAATCAAACCAAGAAACAAACATAAACAATCCTTTTGTATAAGTGATTTTTAAAATAACAACGTAAAACATGTCAAAGGAGTTTCAATTACATAATACTCAATCAAAAGATAGTAAATTTATATAAAATTTATGTCCTTCGGATTGATCTTTTTTGAATTTTTTTCTTCTCTTTATTGAACCATGTCTAACTTTCATTTTTGTATTTTTTAAATTATAATATTTAGATTCAGGGATGACAGGATTTCAGAAAAATTATCTACAAGAAGTATGGTAAAGATTCGTAAAAATAGATATGTGTATGAGTTTGGATAATTATCTACAAAAATAAATAGATATGAATGCATGTATGAGCACCTTAGTATCCACTCTGACACAAATTCGTACAATATATATATATATATATATATATATATATATATATATATATATATATATATATATATATATATATATATATATATATATATATATATATATATATATATATATATATATATATATATATATATATATATATATATATATATATATATGTGTGTGTGTGTGTGTATGTGTGTGTATATGTATTTTAATTTATATTATTATATAAAAATATATGTTTATCGATTTTAAAAAGTTTATCGATCTTTAAAAAAATGTTAAATGTTCGTTTATTTTAACAATAAGTTTATTGAAAACTTTTTAATATTTTTAAAAAATTAAAATGATATGATATTTTATAATTGATTTGTTTATTTTTAATAGTAATGCGGGTAATAAGTACGGGTATGAATACCTATATATTCATAGAATATGGATAAGAGTGCTGATGTCCAAGCGGATATAAATTAGGATATATAAATTTTTTAAAATCGCAAATATAAGAATAAGAATAAATATTATAGTATCCTACCTAAATTCTACCCATTCTCATTTCTATATTAAATTCTTAAATAAATAAATATTTATAAAGACACGTATCTTTATCATTTTACTTAAATATAATGCATTAAAAAAATGTAGAAATATAATATACAAAAATGTTACAACGCAAATATTAGATTAGACCATAAAAATTAAAAAATACAAGTTCACCTAAAGAAAAACAGAGAAGGGTTTTCCATGCTTAAGGTTAGTAGAAACCCATACAACCTTTACCAAACATAACTTAATCAACTAAATATATTATAGTAAAGAACAAAACCATGTTCCTTAAAAAATTTATTCATTCTTAAACAACAACTTCAACATGCACAACCACTTCCCTGTTCTACTGCTTCTGAAGGAGCTTCAGAAATTCCTCGAAAATAACTGCTATGGAATAACAACATCTTTTGTATCATTAAAAATGTTTAAAATCATTCATAACTATTTAAAAAAAATCTTGTAAAAATTTTCAAGAAAAACAAAAGTTAAATTCTTACATATCTAGTTCATGTTCATTTTCTGATGCAACTTTAGCCACGCACAAAAATGCATCATCAACATTGTAACTCTCTTTCGCAGAGGTCTCAAAATATGGTATGTTACCTCTAGAAGCACACCAGTCCCTGGCTTTTTTCTCCGTAACCTTCAACAATTAACATGAAAAAGGTTCAATTATTAAAAAAAGTTGTTCTATTAATCATAAAATTTAATTTTCTACTTACTCTTCTACTGTGTCCACCATCTACGTCAATTTTGTTCCCAAGTAATACAAAGGGAAATGCATCAGGATTTTCTGTATCGGCCTGAAATCCATTTCAATTCATTTGTTTAACTTAAGTGAAAAATTAGCAACAATAATCACATGATTTTGATTAAAACACACACCTGCTTAAGAAAATCAGCATGCCAATTGCTTAATGTATCAAAAGTTTTGTGTATATTTACATCATATACCAAAACACAACAATCTGCACCTCTATAAAATGCAGCACCAAGACTATGGAACCTCTCTTGTCCTGCAGTATCCCAAATCTGCCACAACATTGTAATCATTTATACCGTTAAAATTTTACCAGTTAAGCCAACTCAGTTGATAACTGTTTAAGAGAAAAATTTGAATCACTCACCTGCAAGGTTACAAGTTTGTCATCAACTAGTAGCTCCTTTGTAACAAAATCAGCTCCAATTGTGGCTTTATACTGTTGGGTGAATTTTTTATAAACATATCTAAATTGAAAGTTAATGTTCCACAATCTGTTCAATAATTGAAAGCCATACTATAATTTTATGTCAAAATTTCATTGTACACGTCCCTTATTTTTTTCGATCCTATGAAATTCACCGATATCGCAGCAGGTTTAAACCTACGCCTCTGATATCTTTACATATATATACCATTTGAACTGGTTTAACCGGACTAGACATAGTTTATTTTAATGCATTGACATTAAAATTTAGATATTCATTATTTTTTGCCAGCTGGACTGAACTATGTTCCCCACAATCAAAGAATGCCAATTCATGCGTCAGTTTTGGTTGTTAAAGAAACAGAACAGAACAAACCGAAGTAGTGAAAACTAAAAAAAAATCAATGATTTGAAATTAATAATGCATCGACAACAAATCAATAACAACGTAAAAATAAGATGCTTTCACTTTTCTTTTTGTTTTATTGAAAATGACAAATGGATACTGGTTCATCAATGATGTCTTCCCAACTCTGAAAAAAATAAAAATAAATAAATAATCTCAGAAAATTTGAAAAAAAAAGAAGAAAATTTTATAAAATATCACGTACCCACTATCTCCAAGGACGATGACCTTAAGCAAAGTTCTCTTCCTGTGTGAAATGGAAGTATCCATGTTGAAGATTCAAAACTCAGAATCACTTATCAGAAGCACTTATCAGAAGGAGAAAGAGCAACTTATTTCAATTTCAATTTTCTTGCAATGAATAGTGAAGTAGTAAATGAAAAGAAGAAGGTAAAAAAAAAATGGTTGCAAAGAGAAAAGGGAAACCCGTGTGATTCTTCCTTTTCTGATTTTGAATGATGGTGGGGAGAATCATGTGAATTTTGACAACCAAAATCAAGTTCTAGTGACAGCAAAGCGTTATTATTTATAATGATTTTTTTGCTTACTTTAAAAGTTTAATATTAATGTTTCGAATAAATAAATTTGGATTACATTATAATTTATATACGTGCTTGCCTCTATTTGTTCGATCTAAATAAAAAAAGAAAAAAAGTTAGGTGTTTTATGTTTTTTGTGACAGTTGAGAAACGCTTTTCTGTTTAGTTGTGAAATGTGATGTTATTTATTTTGATATACTTTTGGAAGAAACTATGAAGTCTATGATGCTTTGATGCATGCCTACCACATGTGAAGTTATCTCTATTAAGAGAAAAATGAAAGAATATGATAATGCTACAAAGGAAATATATGTACAATGTTATAAGTATATATCCTTAAATAAAGATGGGACAGAATAAATAAATAAATAAATAAATAAAGATTAATATTTTATTTCCATCAATGAAAATTATAAAAATATATCTCGTTAAATCAGCTCAGTTGATAGCTGTGTAAGAACATTAAATGAAAGACGCGAATTTGAATCCGTAACATTTCATTTGTATGAACGAATATTCGAATCTGCGACACATCACTTATTTATCTTTAAATTGTGGTTTATAATCATTAAATTAATTGAAAAATGAAAATATAGATAGGAAATAAAATAAAATTATATTTTTGAAAATCAATACAATTTTATAAATAAATTATAATGTAATTTTCTTTAAAAAAGAAAGAAATAAAATATAGATTTTTTTAAAGAAAAATTTACATACTATGAATAAAAACTTAATGTATAAAAATAAGATGAAAATATACTAATTAAATATTATATGACTAATAATAATTATTAAATATAAGTTATTATTGTCCCTTTTATTATTTTTCATGTAGTTTTATGTTTTATTTCCAACTTAAGATGATTACTTTTTAGAATAAGTATTAATTTTAACCTTAAAAAAATGGTGAGATCCAATTTAGTTTAGAAAATTATAAAAATAAATAAAAAAACGAAACAACTTACTATCTATCTCAACGCCTTACTTTTCACCAATTTAATATTATGCTTGAAAACATTATTCTTAGAAAAAAAATAAAAAATAGTAGGGAAAATATGATTTTTTAAATGTTATTCTTCAGTTAAAAAACATTTTACTGTGAAAAATTGGAGTATTAATTATTTATTTAGAAAAATTGGAGTATTAATTATTTATTTAGAAAAATTGGAGTATTAATTATTTATTTAGAAAAATTACTTATTTATAAAATAATATTTTTAATTTATTAATTTAGTTATTTTTCTTGACTTTTGCATAAATTATCTTTAAAATTTAAAAGTAGTGCACTGTCATTGTAAAGAAATATTACACATACATTTAATTATATTATTTTAAAATAACAAATCATAACAATATTTTAAAAATAAAAGTGTGATGTGGCAGGATAGACCCTTTTTTTCTTATCTTTATACTCTATTTCTTTTATTTGATTATAACTTTAATCTATTCATTTTATCACATTCACATAATTAATCATCTATTTCAAATTCAAATTTGATTTTCTCTCATTTTTTATACTTGAATTTGACTGTGTGTCCTTTTAAAGTTACATATTATTTATGTAACAATACTAGTCGTCATATGAAAAATGTTTGCAGAACTTTAAATATATAAAACATAAGTTATATGTCATTAAAAAATAACAAGCCATCAAATTCTAGTTCAATAATGTAAGAATGATATTAAAACCATTTGAATTTAAAAAATGAGATTATTTATAAATCAACTAAAATATAAGAATTTGTTGAATGTAATTAAATAAACTTTTTCTTTATCATATCTAACTTTTATTTAAAAATGTTTAGATTATTTAATAAATACACATATTTATTTTATATTATTATTGTTTTTTTTCTCTCCAATAAAATTATCAAATAATCACTTTATTTTTTGTTTATTGTTCTGGGCGGGGCTTGGGGATGGCCCACCGTCGGGCGCAACCCAACCCCACGTCGGGGACGATCCAACACAAAGGTCCAAGTTCGCATACCCGTTGGATGTCACGCATGCCACACGCTCATCACACGTTATCCACGTGCTTCCCACGCGGGAACACGTCATCAACCAACTACCCACGTCCGAGAGAACAGGTCATCCTCTCCCTAGAGTTCGTGAGACAGTTGGTCCAGGACGAAGACCACGTACAGGTCTTCCCTACCTCCACATAGGATCTTGACAGTCATCTGTTGTGGGCCTTGCGATCCAGTCCCAAGTAGATGACCGTTGACCCAATGCTCAAGGCACATTATAAATACTCTCCTCTAGAGGAGGGTCAGGTATTATAAACTCACTCACTTTCTGTACTTGCTCACTCTCTCATCCACTTCCTTTTCTCACTTTGGCATCAAAGTGTCTTGCAGGTACACCCCCTCCTCTTCTCCACCACCAGCGAATTGGAACTCATGACGTGTTGCTGAATGCTGATCCTCTTTCTGATTCGGTAAGATCATTTACTTTCTCTTTTTTTTCCTTATCTTTCCTCCATCATTTAACAAAACAAAAAGAAGAATGTACTTGTTAAAAGTACAATACATGAGAATTCATAGTGATTAAGGATTGTCAAAGACTTTTAGGGTTTGTTGTAGCGTTTAGAGTTAGCCCACGTAAGGAGGTGAGAAACTATATGTATATAGTATTTGTGTAAATATGAGATTTTCCCTCTCAACTTTGGGTTGAGATATTTATAGGAGTTTTTGGGTATGGGTCGCAGACGCCTAAGAAGTAGCAACTACTTCTGAGTGAACACGAGAGTCGACAATTAATCCCCTATTATTTAGAAGAGCATGGTTAATTTTCCTCTGACATCTTCTGCACCGTTGTAGACTAGGGACATGTCACTTTCCACGTTTTCCCGCTTCGAAGAGTTATCCAAGAAGTGGGTGACATATTTGAGGATAAGGTATCACATATAGGAAAGTGGCGATCGATATAGGAAATAGGCGATCCAAAAGGTGTTGTGGGCTAGGTGTTACAACATTTTCCTCTGTTGTCTCCCTTATGGGCCCTTTACGAATAATCCAATACATAATCCCTCAAGCACGAGGGCTTGGAAAGAGCGAAGTAATTTAGTCCTACTTTTACTTTTCTTATTTGGATGAACCCCTATAACCTACATGGGGTGAGTCATTTCTATATGGGGTGAGTCCCTCTTGTAAGAGGTGAGTCTAGGATATCTTTAGATGTCAATGAGGTGAATTATACGTCAGTCAGTTGAAGAAAATAAAACATCAGTCAGTAAAAGGAAATTAAACGTCAGTTAACAGAGAGAAATAAAACATCAGTTGAGGAAAACGTGTGTTATATTGAATGTGATCGATGATGATTTTCCTCGGGAAGCCAAATTTGGCCTTACTCATTACGCATGTTTCTAACATGGGGAATCTTTCCCTTCTATTGTAATCATTGAGGTTCCTTGTGGGCGGTTGTAGGTTGCCCCTACGATTGGACTTCCCATCCTTATAAAAAGATTTTAGTTTCGTCATTTCGATATTCTCTCCTTCTAAACTTCCATCCCTTTAGCCAAGCGCTCTTATATGCGCAAAATGTATTTATATCACAAGCTTTTTGACTGTAATTGCATGTATGATTAAGTTCTTCATTTGCTCATTCTATTCTTAACAATAGTTATTGGGTTTTGGGACGTTTAAGGAGTGACTGCTTTCTTCTTAACGAAAAGCATTGCCAAAAACAAGTTAAATTTGATGAGAAGACCTAAGTTTGACAAACAAATCTAAGGCAAAATTGAAAGGGTCAAGAACAAGGCAAATTCGTTGGGCGAAGTTATATCCCATCCAAAAAATTTAAAGTAGACTTTATAACTTTGATGAACTAAACACAATAATAATTAGTTTTTCATTAACTTAAATGTTAATTTTAAGGATAAGACAATAAATCACAATGACGATGGCAAATCGATCAATTGCTTGGTTGGAAAAATATGATATATGAAGTATCTTCATATAATATAGTCCCCCATACAATATAAACTTGAGGTGGAGATTAGATTATAGGCCCGCTTGTTTTGGCTTTTTTTTTAAAAATAATTTTTATAATGTAACATATTTTAGTGTAACAAAATTTTATAAAGAAACTTTTTATAAAAATTTGATTTGAATAGTTTTTCTTAAAATGTTATTTTAGATATTTTATCGGAAAAAAATTTGAATATCAAAATTTAAAAAATCACTTAATTTTGAAGCTATTTTAATAGCTTTTCATAAAATTCATTTTTAAAATACAATTTTTTTAAAAAGACTGTGATTTTAAATATGTTTTGTTCTTCAATAATGCATGTTTATGTTATAGTAAGTCAAAATTAATATTTTAATTTATAAAAAGTAAATTTAAAAAAACTTATAATATTTTAAAAAAATATTTTGTAGAATTCATTTTTTAAAAGATAAAATAAACTGGCCCTATAGTGCATCATAATTCATAACCAGGTTGATTGTGTTAATGATGGTTTACTAACCTCAATTGATGATTGTGGTATTGAGCTAGACTCAGTTCATAAGTATAGTCTGAAACACATGTAATATGCAAAACTTAAGATTGTATTTTAAGAAATTTTAAATATTAGGCTACTCAATTACTTCAATTGAATTCCCTTCATTTATTAATTTCTCTTCAATTTTTAAATTGTTTTTGTTTTGATAGAGTAATAAATTTTCTATCCTTATATTTTAAGATTGAATATGTTTGTGTCCTCTCTAAATATATCGGTATTTG